AGAATATAGTGCTCTCATGCACGGCTGTTGAGTGTGTGTAACTCCTGATACCTAGTTTTGTCCCAGTACGGAGAAATCGCAATTTCAAAAGTACCACTTTTCGGCTTAGTCGAGTAGTGGCATATTTGACGTAACGACAGTGTATACATTTATCCAGATACTTTACCTTTGTAATCACACTTGGAATGTTGATGTATTAAACTGTTGTATTCCAGAATATCTCTCGTATTGAATCATTTTTGACAGCGTGAGATGCAAATAAAGATTGTTCTTTTTGTGTACACAAATGATGTCAATTTCACGATTTGACCCGCTACGCGCGGAAAATTGTTAAAAAATAAAAAACTTTTGAAATCTGAGGGAAACCACTTATGTTTCGATGATAGGCTATGGTTTCCTTATCCACATGCAAAGTTTAAGGCAAGATTTATTTTTGAACCAATTTCGAGTGGTCGGAAATTACAGAGACACGCTCTTAAGACGCTTAAGGAAAAGCTTTCCTTATGATTATTTGAGGTAAGAGTGAACCAAAAGCAAGGACTTGAGTTTGTAACGTTAACGGAAATGTATTCTCACTCTCGGATTAATATCTGAATGTTTACTCTGCTAGATTTTCTTTACTTTTGTTTTTTCATGTATAGCTACCCCGCAATGAAAGTTCAATTCTTAATTTTCTTTTCCGTCGCTGTTATTATTTTCTTGAGACCCACAAATTATATGTGCAACCAGTTGTATTAAAAATTAAACGTAATAGCGATAAATCATTCGGCGACAAAACTTAGAATTTTAAAAATCATTGGGGATTCACCTGAAAAAGCTGAATTTACTTCTGAAGAGTAAAAAACACTACCTGTCTATGGAACATCACGGTTTTCCACTCCTGTTTTTAACAACTGAATGTTTACTCTGCGAGTTTTGCTTTAGTTTTGTTTCTAAAATGCATAACTACACGCGCTCAGTTGACAAATTTGTTTTCATTTCCTTAGTCGTTTTGTCAAATCCAACGATTATTTCGCGTCTAATAGGATTTATTTGACAACATGTCATTAAAACGCCTTCAAAATCCTCCAGCAATCACGCGAAACTGGTTGAAACAGTGAAAATATCGCGGCATTTTTTCTTGTCGAGAAAGACGCTAATTCAGTTGGGCGAGTATGTCGCGCCATGTGTGGCAAAATTATTTTTCGAACCATTAAACCTAAAGATGTGCTGGAAATCACATAGCAAACCTGTATTGTCATCTTCATATTCTTTTGCTCATTTCACTGATCACCTTTTACTACCAAAGTGGATGACTACGCGCGATAATTCTTACTACTAAGAAATTCTGACACTGTAATTCTCGCCAAAAACCTATTGTTTATTGTTCGAGTAGACCCATTACTTTTGAAAAGCAATAAACTGCAGGTTTTTTTTACCATATGAAGTGCAGACTATTTCTTAGTAAATAAAAGTTCTTTTTCTCAGCAGCGCAAAGTTTTTCTTGACATACCTTGGACCTAATCCAATGTGAAATCAGTCGTATCAGAAACAACCAAACAGCCGACGAAATTACTCGGTATAGCACTTGAAGCAGTTATCAGGGATCGTGTTTGAATAGCGGGCCGAGCTTAAAAAAAAACGTCAATAGTGAATCGGAAGAACTGACTAGGGTTTGCGCACTTGAATTAAAACCTGACTATGGTGAAATTAGCAGACACAAACATTGTGTGGTTCCAACTAGTAGTGATTCAATCAGCATTAACAACATTCATTCCCAAGCCATATCTTTGAGCTCAGAACATGAACTATGAAACAGCGTTCAGCCTTATAAAAAAAAGCAATCAAGCAACTAAATCTCAGAACTATTCGACCAGAATCAAACTACAGTGAGTTCTTCAAAGCGTCGCAATCAAAATGGCTTGAAACAATGGTAGAGTCACGTCATCAATTTTCGAAGTTGCATATTGGTGGAAACTTTGTTGTATAATCTGCTTCTTGAATGATTAAACTATATTGAGTCTATAAGAATTACCTGAATTGCTTTTTGTCTGTAGCATTTCCTTAAAATGCTCAAAAGGACTGCACTTCTGAATAGTGATTTACCATTCATGAAAATTGAATACCAAATATTAAACATCTTAAGTGTCCTGCTTGAAAGCAAATGACAAAAAATTAGTTCGCKYCKYYAAAAYA